ATTTATCAGTGGATAGATTTTTTGTGGAAGGAAAGGGTTAACAGATGGACACTTTAAGTAGAAGCTGTAAGTAAAAACTTTCTAGTACAAGGCTTAAAAAAGCTAATAACTTCTTATCCAGATTGACAAATGCTACGATTAATTAACTAGAAGCCACAGGAAATTGGACAAGGGTGAAGCTAGGGGTTTAAGTCAAAACATTCTCTGGAGGGCCCGAAAGACCAAAGAAGTGTCAAAACAAGAAATGGTAAGACTAGGAAAAAAATACACTTATGTACTCATTCAAATACGTATTATGTATTCAGCACTGCTGAATGTTAGCAGTTTTGGGGGAAAAAGATTACACAACAGGGTCCTGAAGAGCCTACAATATTGTGAGAAATAAGACACAAGCATTCTGTGTCACTCACCATTTAAGTAACAATCCAAATGAAACATTCAGAAATGAAGACAAGGGGCAGATGTCTGTTGATACAAGTGGTTGAGAAGACTTCAGAGCCCACAGCAGGGTCATAAGTAGTAGGATTTTCATAGACAGAGACGAAGAAGAGCACAAGCCAAGGTAAACTGGAGAGAACTCGGTGGTCCAGCACTCAGCGGTCCAGCACTCAGCAAGAAGATTAGACAGGAACTTAGGCGAAGGTTGCATCAGTCATATTGAGGAATGTCTTAAATGTCATCCTTACACAATTTTAAATTAGGAAATGTTTATGAGCATGATTAATATATTTCAATATTTAATCTCTAGCATGGCTTGAAATGTATTTTCATAAGAGACCATTTTAGAACTAATTAGAGGAGTCAGAACTGGAGAAATGAAGAGTAATTTCAGAAGTGATGTATGTAGATCAGAGGTTCTCAAAGTGGTTCATAGATCCCTTGGGAGTCCCTGAGACCCTTTCAGGGGATATGTGAGGTCGAAATTATTTTCATAACACTACTAAGACGTCATATGCCTATATCACTATGTTGACATTTGCCCTGATGGCACAAAAACATTGGTGAATTAAAACTGCTGGTGTCAAGGCAATGGAACCAAAGTGTACTAGTAGCGATGTATTTTTTTAAAAACAGCTTTACTGAGGTGTAACAGACATGTAATAAACAGCACATATTAAAGTATACAATTTGATGAATTTTTACACACATACACATTTGAGAAACTATCACTACAATCAAAAGGATCATACCCTGTGACCCTTTGTAACCCACCTCTCTGTATCCCCTCATTCTCAGACAACCATTGCCCTATTTCCTGTCACTATGAATCTGTTTCAAGTTCTACATTTTATATAAATGAAATCATAGAGTAAGTACTCCTTTTACATGCCAACACTAACCAAAGGCAAACTAAACAAAGCAGACTTCAGACAAAGTAGATATCAGAACAAAGAACACAGAGAGGATCATTTCATCATGATAAAAGATCAGTCCATTAAGAGGACATAATAATCCTACATGTGCATGAAACTAATAAGTTTCAAAATACATGAAACAAGAACTGGCCACCCAAAACCAAAAATGAAACAAACACACAATGATAATGGGGAAATTTCAATACCTCTCCCTATAGAATGGGTAGAACAACAGTACAGAAATTCAGTAGATACAGGAGACTTGAATAATCAACTTGACTTAACTGACATTTATAAAACCCAACAGCAGCAGAACATACCTTATTTTTTTTTAATTTTTATTAAGGTACGATTGATATACACTCTTATGAAGGTTTCACGTGAAAAAACAATGTGGTTACTACATTTACCCATATTATCAAGTCCCCACACATACCCCAATGCAGTCACTGTCCATCAGTGCAGCAAGATGCCACAGATTCATTATGTGCCTTCTCTGTGGTACAATGTTTTCCCTGTGATCTCGACACCATGTGTACTAAACATGATACCCCTCAATCCCCTTCTCCCTCCCCCCTCCCTCCCCGCCCGCCCTCTCACACCCCTCCCCTTGGGTAACCACTAATTCATTCTTGGGAGTCTCTGAGTCTGCTGCCATTTTGTTCCTTCAGTTTTGCTTCGTTGGTATACTCCACAAATGAGGGAAACCATTTGGCATTTGTCTTTCTCCTCCTGGCTAGAACATACCTTATTTTTAAGTGCACTGGAACACTGATAAAGACTGAGCATAAAACAATAAATTTAAGAGGTCTGAAATCATACAACGTATGTTCTCCAACCACAACAAATTAAATTAAAAATCAGTAACAGATAGCTGGAAAAATCCTCAAACATTTGGAAACTAAACATTATACTTGTAAATAATCCATAAGTCAAAGAATAAATCACAAGGGAAATAAGAATATTTTGAATGGGATGAAAATAACTCTGGAAATTTGTACCTTGAAACACACGAACTTGAAAGTTTCCTAATATTTAACAAGACTTTTCTGATGAGAATGGTGATATTAACGAATGCCACTCTTTTATAGTGATGTATACGGAAGCGTGTCAACATTTGTAAGATCTATGTAAATGATGAATGAAAGGCATTACAAAAGATCCATTCCAAACAAGACAGGCCAATGAATTTTATTGTAAGGGTACACAGAATTCATTGATTATGGATTCAGAGTCTGTACTGCAATGAACAAACTTTTAAGAAACTACCCCTGGTTACTTTGGTGGAGTATTAATTATCTAAAAGGTCTGCTAAAATACTCAGCTCTTTTTCAGCTGCATATGTATGTGAGGCAAGACAGTTGTCATGTATTTCAAACAAATTATAAGACTGAATGAAACAGCAGATAGGAGAACCCAGCTGTCTTAAGCTAGTCACTGAAGAGACAAGATTGTAAAACAATGCTACTGCTCTCATAACATTAAAAATTTTTTTAATATCTTTTCATAAAAATGCCATTTATGTTCATGTGTAAGTTTATTTTAAATGAATTATTTTTAAAACTTACCAATTATAACATTTAACTACCATCATTTTATGACAAAGAGGAAAGCTTGAAAGAGTAAGTAACAAGACTCCAGGACTGAGTGAATGAGAGGGGTAAAATAAACCAGCACCGTAGGTACTTATGATGTAAGAAGACTTGGTGCTCAGAAAACTCTGAAATAAAAATTGGTACAATCTTAGTGGGCTTGGTTGTTCACAGCAGATTTGCCTATTTAATCCAGAGTATTAATAACCACATTGTGAGGTGACAGAAAACTAAAAAGACCAGATTTTGGAAGGGCTCAATTAGAATTCCAGCACGTTATAACAAATGGCTGCCTTTCATCTCCACACTGAATGAACAGGACTCATGTCTGCCCACTGTTGCCATGCCTGGGCTAAGACACAACTGATGAGGTCAGATTAGATTCATCCAAAGCAGAAGTGAGCCTACAGAACTGAATGCATTCAGACCCTCTGTAGGCATACAGTGCAGTAGTTAAAGGTTGGAGGGCAGACAACTTGTCAGGGGGTTACTCTTTTCTTGTATAATTTCAGAAAAGATTTACTTAACCTCTTCATGCCTCATTTTTCTTCAAATAGGGATAATTGCTATATTATAGGGTTACTGTGAGGATTATAAATGTAAAGCGTTTAGAAAAGCACCAAGTATAAGTAAAGTACTTGATAAATATTACTATTACACAATGCTTTTCACCTGAAATTTGGGAGTAAAGAAATACTAGTCTAATCTACAGAGGAGGTAGGGCTGTAAGAAATATAATAAAATACTCTAAAATTTACCTATGATACTAAAAGTTCTAGGATTAAAGATACATAAAGTGATCAGAACTAATGTTATAAGAAAAAAGAAAATCACCTCAAGGTTATCATTTAAAAATGAGTAAACAGTAAATTTGGTTATAGACCTTGGATTCAGAAAGCATCTATATTTTCAAAACCAAGGCCTCTCTTTCATGGTTATGAGAATAATATATCCTCATCTAACAATTATGGGGCAAGTGACATATTTTTCCTTTTTTTTATAAAAAGCAAAATTTAAGTAAAAATTTGAAAAATTTAATAAAGGAAACCTACAAAGTATTGGTATTTGTATTATAACTATGTAAACATCAGTGTTTATAACTTGACTCAAGGTGAAAAAGAAAAATCCAGGCTGAGTGGAAAACTACTCAGGACACCAAGGACTATCAGCCTACGTGAGTGCAAAGTCCAGAGATCCGGGACAGTGCTGACGGCAGAAGGAGAGGGGCGAGGGTGGGCAGCCTGCAGAGATGTGAAATACTTTTCTCCATAAAGGAGTAGGGGCAGGATACAGGACTCTGGAGCCTTGACTTAACTTGTGGATAAGGCATTCATCCAAACAGCTTCCTAGGACACTTCCCACCCCTGCCCCATGCCTAAGACACACATAGAAACCGAACAGGGAGTCTACAAAGCCACCCCACAAAATAAACTGGCAGCATGAGGTAGAAAAACCTTAAAAGAAAAGAGGATATGGTAGTCTGCAAACTCTGCTGTCAGTAATGTCAACACATGGTAAAGAACTCCCACATTTTTTATTTCTGCAAGAACTCCCACTACAGGAGTTGTACGAACAAACACCAGAGCCCAGTACTCTCTGCCTCAGGACATCTGCACGAATGCGCCCCAAAGCAGAGAGATGGCAGCAGCAGCCTGAAATGCTTTGAGGATTCTGGGAATACACCTTTCTATCTCCATCTGCATCAGTCAGAACAAGAATTTATATGTAACTCAGGAGGAAATGAAGTCTTATATACAATCTATGCTTCTAATAAACTCCAAACTAGCTTAGATGCTATTTACAAGCAAAGGAGAGAATGTGTGCAAGTCTGGTGAGTAGGAAAATAGTGAGAAGGCTGCTCATCTGTCAGCCAAACATTACACTTCTCTTGAGCAAATCTTTTGGCTTGAGTGGGTATAAATACTCAAGACTCATAGTGATTGCTTTTGAGAGGAAAAGACAGTGAAGGAAAAAGGTATCAGGAAGATTCTAATCTGTGATCTTTTCTCAAGAACAAATTATTACCATGATTAAAAGAAATGTACTCACTTACCTGGAAAATATCTGTCTTGTCTCCAAATAGACTGACAAAATATTTATAGTCAGCATAAGCCCAGAATTTGGAATGATCATAATCTCTAAATGGTCCTGAAATACTAGACTGGTCACAGTTCCAGGTCAGAAACTCTTCAAGTGTGGCTTCTATGTAACTGCATGTAGTTTCAAACTGAGGAACTGCAATGCAAGAGAAACCAACTGTAAGTCCGGGGAGAGGAAATCCTGGGGCAAAATACCTCTAAAAACTGAAATCAGTCAAAGGGAGAAATAAAGTTTAAAATCCGTTTATTGCTCACAAACCCCTCCAGAAATTTCACCTTACAATTTACTCATTCCCCCTCTTCTGACGTATCTAATAACATACAACAGCAACAGCAATAAAATGTTGATAATTCTCAAGCCAGGGGATTCAGCCTATGCAGACTGAGTAAATGTGCTTTACAGCACAATCTCTCACTAAGCACAAAATGTTTCTACACTTGTTTACGCATTCCTAACAACTATGCTAGATTGCTCACAAAACTTTTACCAAACATTAGACAAAGTCAAGCCCCTCTTTAAGCATTTTTTTCTTGACAACAGCAACACAATCGTGATAATTCTTAGGCTAGAGGAGTCAGCTAGGTTCAAAGTCCCATGCAGATTAAGTCCAAAGCTCCTCCATTCCAGGCATCATGCGGTAGCTGCAGCCAGGAGGCACATCCAGGACACAAGGACTGTAGAAGCAAATAACTGTGATTGTGGGGGGGCCACTTTTCTGTTATTCCAGGAATACACAGGAGGCCAGCCTCCAGGCCTTTTCCCCAAGGTGCCAGAAGAGCCAGCCATCACTGATCCATGTGTTGAAATGTCCAAGGCCATGACCATTTTATTTCTAATTGCTGCACCCATCCTTGCAAGGCATGTCCAATAAAGTGGGTGCCTTGATTGCTCTCAAAATTAATTTTTAATGTTAAATGATAGTTAAGATATTTTGGTTGAAATTATTTTCATTTGTGCGACCAGCCATAGGTTGCAAAGAGATGCTCTAGGCCCCTCTTGGTGGTTTGCTGATCTGCACAATATGCAGGGCACTCCTGCTGGGCTAGGCTGACTTCTTCAAAGGTGAAAGGCAAGCCCCACTGATGGGCCCATGTTGTCTTTTGCCCTGAATGCAACAAACGCTGGTGTAGCCATTGGGCCACATCAGAGGCAGGCTTTCCTTCTAGCCAGCACACCTGAGCCAATGTGTCTGCTTCATCATTCCCTGGGGATGCCAAAGGCAAGTGGCCAGTCACATGATATATGGTAGGTGTCAGTGCCACACCACTCCGTGGCTTTTGGGTCCAGTCTTGTACCCACCCTGCGATGGGATAGGAGGTTATTACCTTGGTCGGAGCTGTTTCAGCGATGGGCTCCGTAGCCAGCAAGGCGTGGTACACAGCAGCCAGTTGCTTCCCTATCAAAGTGACCTGGACCTCTGCTCCTTTCCATAGTTGTGACCAGGATCCAGCTGGCAGCAGGAGCAGCAGCAGTGGCAGAAGCAGTAGCCTTAGGCTTGGGCCATGGGCAGGGGTTGGCATGGCCAGCAGCAGTGGTGGCGCCTTCACGACCACACAAGTGTAGACACACTTGCCTTGGCATGAGCACCACTTTTTCCTATCATTTCTAGGGGTGGCCCTCCTAAAGGTCGCACCCATTATGACAGATTTCAGGTTCAGAGGAATCCTGTAGACTACTGCCAGATTTAAGTCCGGGGAGAGGAAATACGGGGGCAAAATACCTCTAAAAACTGAAATCAGTCAAAGGGAGAAATAAAGTTTAAAATCCGTTTATTGCTCAAACTGCAGTCTGGGCCGGTTCTCTCTTTTCTGCTCCGACAGAAGCTAAAAAGAGGCCCTTCCCACTTCTCAGGTACAGATAAAGCCCTCTGTTGCCCAGGTAATTACCCATTGATATGGAGATGAACTTCTCTCCACCCCTGAGGAGTGATGCAAATGCACTAAAGCCATAGTTCTTTCACCACTGAACACCTACTGATAGGCAGATGTACTAAAGCCAGGCAAGATATTCTGGAAATGTTACAATTTTACCCACACCAACTTGAAATGTATACTGAAGTTTCCAAATGCTGTTGTTTTAAATGAAAATAATTTCAACCAAACCAAAATATCTTAACTATCATTTAACATTAAAAATTAATTTTGTGCTTGCTACATAATTAGAATGATAATACGTACAAAATACCACACTCACAATACTCATGATTAAATATAAAACAGTTTTCATTTTAAGATTGCAGATTTTGCTTATTATATAGCCTGATTCAGTAATCCAGTGGAAGGCTTTAGATGAGCAATTCTCCAAGGCGTTTTCAGGGGTCTGTAAGGTCAAACAATTGTCATTGAAAGACCATGACACTATTTGCCTTTTTCACTCATTCTCTCTCAAGTGCACAGTGGAATTTTTCATAGGCTACATGACATGAATTAATGCTCACAATGATGCATGTTAACTGTTCTGACATATAGTGGAATAGCTTATGTTCTTGTATTTTAAAGTGTCTTGATTTAATTTCTAATATGGTAGTATCACTAGATATAACCCACACTGACAAAAGCTCATGGGGGTACTCAATAATTGTCAAGTGTAATGGGATCATGAAAACAGAAAGTTTGAGAACCACTTCTGCAGATACAAAAAAAAAGGCTACAAAAAATCTCTTTTGAAAATGCTCTGACTTTATATGGCACATATATCATACACAGCTCTTGAGAATCATTAAGTAGACAACGGTAATTTAAAGTGTTAATTTATTCATTAACTCATTTCAGAATCATTTATTAGGTGCCCTATTTGTAACTAGCCCTGTGCTCAGGCTTGTGGGAACATAAAAGAAACAGGGAACAATCTTGAGTTTAGAGTATATTTAGACAAAGATAAAACTTTAATTACAATAATAGGAAATTTGAGGCATCATATAATCAAATGCAAAATTTTGTGCCATATACATATAGGAAAAGGCAAAAACCACCAGAAATGAGGATTCATCTACATGTAGTTTCAAACTGAGAACAAATGTGAGAAGTCTGTTGTCTTTCCACAGTGCTTTATTACTGTAGGATGATGTGAGTAAAACTGTAATATTTCCAGAATATCTCGCGTGGCTTTAGTACATCTACATATCAACAGGCATTCCTACGGGATGGAGAGCAGTTCATCTCCATATCAATGGTAATTACCTGGGTGAGATGGAGGGCTTATCTAAACCTGAGAGGCTGGGGGAGGTCTCGCTTGCTTCTGCCAGAGCAGGAAAGAGAAGTAGCCCCAGACCGCAGTTTGCAAGCAATAAACGGGTTTTAAATTTATTTCTCCTTTTGACTGATTTTGGTTTTAGAGGTATTTTGCCCCGGGACTTCTTCTCTGTGGAATTACAGATGACTTATTTAAACAAAAATTATTCTCTAAAGACTGATGAAATGAGGCAGGGATTTTGCATTTGGTGGAGTGTTTTAAATGTACACTGGGAAGTCAACGTTCAAGGAATCTGATTATGATCTCCCTTGCAAAGCATGAAATCCTTTCAAGAGGGGATGTAGACCTACCACATGTAAATCAGTTAAAAGAATGTTTAATACATAGAAGATGCCCAGTATAAAAATCATTACTCTTATTCTTCATTCATATATTTATCTGGAGCCCTTTAAAAATGGACTGAATTAGCAGTAGCAAGGGGAAGGTATTCAAACTCTTCTTTCAATGGCTTTTATCTTTTCCCTCCTTTGATGCCTGAACTGCTAAGGATTATCTTAATCATTTTCCCCCTCCTCTATTTTTCCTAAAACCTCAGGATGGCAGAGAAATAAGGGGAGGGGATGTGTCAGTCATCTTAATGCATCCACTTCATCAATTTGTCCTGACTTTGAGGAGCAAGAAACTTATTACTAGGGTACATTTATCTAAAAGATAAAAACTCTGCATATTAAGACTTGAATTTGTTAATTTTTAAGAAATTTTTAGAACACAGCAACCCATCAATATTGCAACTCTCAGGGGGGAAAATCCTGGGGCAAAATACCTTTGAAACAGAAATCAGTAAAAGGGAGAAATAAAGTAGGAGAAACCCATTTATTTCTTACAAGCAGTTGTCCACTTTTGCTCTCCTGGGTCTCTCGCAACTGGCTGCAGAAGAAGCCCCACCCAACCCCTCTGGTCCAGATAAGCCCTAGCTTGCCCTGTAATTGCCTATTGATATGGAGATGTTACTCTCCACCCCTTAGAAACACCTATTGCTATGGAGATACACTAAGGCCAGGCGAGAGATTCTGGAAATACTGCAATTTTACGCACAAATATATATAAGCTCTTCATATTATCAACATCATCATCAGAAATTTACCATAACAATGTACGAACACATAGTGTTTCTTTAACAAACAAAAACCCCCATGGGCAAAGAAAGCTGCGTGGTGCTGGGAAATAGGAGTCAGTTCTAAATCAGTTCAGCATGTTCCAATGTAAGCCTGAAGACATTACACCATCTTGTGAGTTTTTACAGGACAGAACTCAATCCAACTGATCCAACTGAATATTAAAGCTATTACTTGAGCCACTTGTCCCTGGGGTAGACTGAGCAGAACTCTCAGTTAAGGCCACTTTTCACAGGCAAACCTCAGCCTCACTGGGGACTTTGTTTTCTGTCACAGCAAGTTCCATACTTTAAAAGATGAAAACTTAAAACGTAAAAATTATATTTGAGAACTGTTTACTGTCAGGATAAGATGAATGGAAATGACAGGGATATTCATTTACACAGTAATTTCAATATGTAATCTTTCACTCCCTCCTGGTAGTAGGGGCACCAAAGCTACTGTTTTCATTCTGTTATCAAGGCAGTTTCTTTCTGGGTGGTACAGTTGTTTTTCCTAGTTTATTATGTAATGGAATGCCTCCTTTGTACCTTGAGTGCTATTATTCTTGCACACTGAAGTAGCCTAGGCAGCTGCCACTTTCATCCCACTTACTGTCAAAGTGTTCAGTAAGAAAAAGCTCACCTGAGTTCAGGATTTGGAAATAGCGTATGAACTGAGTTTGCTTTTGCCTTCAATTCTCCTAAAAGGGAGTCCTAAAATAATTTTTTGCACAGCAAGGAATCAAATACTTCTCCATTTTGTTAGACTTCATCATTTTACAAGCAA